GAGGGAGGAGGGAGGAGGGAGGAGGGAGGAGGGAGGAGGAGGACGAGGAGGCGTTGGTTTCGGCCTCCTCGGGCCTCTTGGGGGCGAGGAGCGCCCCGAAACTTTTCGAACCACGACCTTTGCAAATTGACGGCAAACTGAGGTGCTCTCAGATTCCGACCGCCCCGTCTTTTGCGAGGTGCCCAGGACGGCCCATGAGAGCCCCAAAACAGCCCGAGAGAGCCGCCCCAGGCGTCCTGCGGGGCCCGTGACCCCCCCGAGACGGCCCAAGAAGCCCCAAAGACGGCCCAAGGGACCCCCGAGACAGCCTCAGCGAGGCCCGCGAGAGCCCCCAGGCGCCCAAGAGCGTCCCGAGATGGCCCGAGATGGCTTGAAGATGGTCGAAGAGGGCCCCAAGAGGACTTTCAAGAGGCAAACATCGGCCCAGTCCTTTCGTGGAACGAACAGCTTCAGCATATTCGCTTGCTTCGTCTCCACAGTGCCCCTGACGCCTCCGAGGAGCCCCGGGGCGGTCCAAGAGGGTCCCAAGACGACCACCCCCGTCCGTTGTTTGGCCATTGCCCTGGACTGAGCCTGAACCTAAGCGCGCGTGGTTCTAGCGTATATATACACATATAATATCGTAGAGTACAACACATGCATAGCCCCACACATTTGGCACAACGTAGATTGCTTGGCTCACGCTTTTATTGGCCCGCCGCGACTAGCATTCGTTTTGTTCGTTTTCCAAACGTCTTGTGGTGTTGAGTACTCATTCTGAATCTGCAGCGCCCTCGTCTCATCGCATCATCTCCTAGGCTTCAGCGCGTCCATGTTGGCAGATCCCGCACGCGCTTCGCGGTCGCATAGGAAGCTTCGCCTACGGTCTCGGGGGTCGCCAGCGAATGGCGGCACCGCGCCCATTCCGGCACACCCTTCACACGTTCTGTGCCCCGTAGGGTTGGCATGATTCAAATGCTTCCGAAATCAATGATGACTGTTTCGCATTGGGTTTTGGATTGAAGCTGCGTGAAAACAAAAACCTAAATTATATTCCGTGTTCCCAGTTTTACTCTTTGTTTGCAGCGTTTATGTTGATCATTGATGTTATTCGTTTTATTAGTTCTTTTTGCGTTTTACTATGTTATTCGTTTTCCTGTCGAAAACGGCTTGATCGAATAATCATTATGTACAGCTTCTTGCTGCATTCATTCCCAACTGTCCTGGGGTGCGGGGTCATCGCTTCGAATCCGCAGGGCTGGCGCGCAAATCTGGCAGCGGGGGCGCGCCTGGATCATGGTCGTTGCGCGGGGGGGGGACTTGAGGCCCAGGGTACCCGTTGACGCTTCGCAGGGGTGGGGCGCGTCGGGGCGTGATCGCCATCGTCTGCGCGCGAGCGCCAGGCGTGCGTGCGAACGCAACCGTGGTACGCGACCCGATCGCAGGTGCAGGCCTGGGAGCACCGTCGTGGCGCACGCGGTAACCGCAGCGGCCCGCGACCGACCACAATGCGCTTCAACACTGCGAAAGCAACGACGACGACCGACAGCGACAGCACAACAACGACGACGGGTAGGATGAGGAGGAGGAGGAGGAGGAGGAGGAGGAGGAGGAGGAGGAGGAGGAGGAGGAGGAGGAGGAGGAGGAGGAGGAGGAGGAGGAGGAGGAGGAGGAGGAGGAGGAGGAACAGGAAGAGGAAAAGGAAAAGAAAGGAGGAGGAGGACGACGACGACGAGGGCGACGAGGACGACGACGACAGCGTGCACCATAGCGCCTGCGTGCACCACGCCGCCTGCGTGCACCACAATGCCTCACTTCCGTCGCCGTCGTCGTCGTCGTCGTCGTCGTCGTCGTCGTCGTCGTCGTCATGTTGGGCCGGGGGGGTTCGTCGGAGCCAAAGATCGAATATGAAAGGGGCGTTCGAAGTGTATTGGGTTGTTACTGGCCTCCCCATCGGTTCGTGGCGGCGACAACGACCACGATGATAACGAGGGCGAGGACAACGACGACGACGACGAAGAGGACGCACGACGCCGAACGACGAGCGCGACTGCGGCGGCGGCGGCCGTGGCGGCGACCTGCGAAGGGCGGCGGCGGCGGCGGCGACGATCCCGAAAAGACAACGGCGGCCCCCCAGCCCGGCCGAAATTCATTCAACATCGGTCCCTGGACTCTTGCGGAGGTCCAGGCCGACCAGTTTTTCAACCCGCACTCAGCCGCGGCGACGGGGAATGCCCACGAAGGCCAGAAAACCGCCGATGTTTCCGACGGCCTTCCACCGCCCAGCGCACGCGGGCTGGAATGCAATTCCCGCCGCCTTCTGAGTAGTTCGTAGGGCGCCTTGGCAGTGAGTAATCCTTTGTGGTCGCAGCCACTGGGGCATTCGGTGGAGCTTCCTATGGGGCCACGAAGCGCCGTAATTATTGGGTGGCGTAGGACGCATGTGGTCACAGCCGCTGGGGCTTTCGGTGGAGCTCCAGCTGGAGCCACGAAGCGCCGTGCTGGTGGCGCGAGACGCATGTTGTCACAGCCACTGGGGCCTTCGGTGAAGTTCCCATATATGGACCACGAAGCGCCGTGCTGGGTGGCGCGGGGGCATGTGGTCACAGCCGCTGGGGCTTTCGGTGGAGCTCCCTGTGGGGCCACGAAACGCCGTACTGGGCGTCGCGGCACGCATGTTGTCACATCCACTGGGGCCTTCGGTGAAGTTCCCATATGGGCCACGAAGCGCCGTGCTGGGTGGCGCGGGAGCATGTGGTCACACCCGCTGGGGCTTTCGGTGGAGCTCCCTGTGGGGCCACGAAACGCCGTACTGGGCGTCGCGGCACGCATGTTGTCACAGCCGCTGGGGCCTTCGGTGAAGTTCCCATATGGTGGAGCTCCCTGTGGGGCCACGAAACGCCGTACTGGGCGTCGCGGCACGCATGTTGTCACAGCCGCTGGGGCCTTCGGCGAAGTTCCCATGTGGGCCACGAAGTGCCGTGCTGGGTGGCGCGGGACGCTTGGCCACAGCCGCTGGGGCTTTCGGTGAAGCTCCCTGTGGGGCCACGAAACGCCGTACTGGGCGTCGCGGGACGCATGTTTTCACAGCCACTGGGTCCTTCGGTGAAGTGCCCATATGGGCCACGAAGCGCCGTGCTGGGTGGCGCGGGACGCATTTGGCCACAGCCACTGGGGCCTTCGGTGGACCTCCCCATGTGGCCACGGAGCGCCGCATTAGGTGCGCCGAAATGGTGGACATGGTGGGAGGAGTGGGGTGGGAGGAAGGAGGAGAGGAGAGGAGAGGAGAGGAGAGGAGAGGAGAGGAGAGGAGACGCGGGACGCTGTCCCCCCAAAGCGAGGACCCAACACCACAGGATGGTTGGGAACAGTTATTTGGCGGCGTGCGAACACGGGCGCGGTTGGATCTGGGAACCGCGATTGGCGCGGGCTACCGCCTGCCAGACGGCTCCGGGCTGAAGCAGGCGCCGCGACGTGCGGGTCCGGTGCCGGCGCCCTTTTCGGCATCCAATAGCAGGGGGGTTGCTCCAAGGCGGGGCCCGGGGGGTTCTGGGGGAAGCCTGTGGGGTCTGGGCGGGCCGAGAGG